GATGGGAGGCTGAGAGTCGGTGGTCGATGCTGAGGCACCTTGCGTTGGAGTGGAGGCCGGCCGTCCCAGGGCGGTTTGCACGCGGAGCCCCCAGGGAAGAGGAGCGGGTGGGGGTTTCTGGGAGGAGTGCAGAGCCGCTGCGGATGGACAGCGACTGTGTGTTCAGAGACGGGGCTTGAGGCGAAGAGACCGGACCTCCCTCAGCGCTGCTCCTTGTTAAAGATGTGCCAGTCCTCATCTCCCTTTTAACCAGTTTGTGTTGAGTCTTCAGCTCTCCGCCCTCTGGAAATCACAGACCTAACCCATGACTTCTTTCTTGCAGGAGAGTGAAGATGGCATCGAGGGCGATGGTGAGTAGCATCATGGTGGTATTTTTTGCCCCAAAACTCAGGTCACCTATTTCCAGCATTTGGCATCTCGGGATGTTAGGGATTTGGGGGAGAGCGGTACAGAGTGGCTCTTGGCAGCATAATCCTAAAGAGCATAACGTTTTAGCAGTATGGCCACTCTTTGAGCCTGTTTGCCATCTGTAAATGGGAACTATAATTTTACCTACCTCATAGGTTGATATCAGATTTAAATTATATTTAGCAGTCAGGAAATGTAATTATAATTGTTATTTTTTTTCTTGACATATTTCGGTTTTCTTTTCAGCTGTTCTCTCGGATTATGAAAGTGCAGAAGACTCAGAAGTGAGTGTGATAGGTTTTTTTCCTTTGGTGTATATGTTTAAATGTATTTTAAAAACGTGTGTGTGTGTATGTATATGTATATATGTGTATATATGTGTGTGTATATATATATATATATATATATATGTCTGTGGTTCAAAAGTATCGTGACCTACTTGTTAACTCTTCTTTTGCATTCTTCACTTACGCTTTGGAAAAACTGATGCAAAAGGTCTTTTTAACATTTTTAATTTTATTTATTTATTGATGATAGAGAAACACTGATTTGCTGTTTCGATTATTCATTCATTCATTCATTGATTCTTGTATGTGCCCTCACTGGGGATCGAACCTGTAACCTTGGTGTATTGGGGTGATGCTCTAACCAACTGAATTGCCTGACCAGGGCCCAAAAGATCTTGTTCATTTAGAGCAGGAGTGGGAACCTTTTTTCTGACAAGGGTCATTTTGATATTTATAACATCATTTTCAGGCCATACAAAATTATCAACTTAAAAATTATGTTGCTATGAAAAAAGCTCCTAGATTTATGGAGAGACACACATTGATTGGTTGCCCCCTGCACACACCCCCGACTGGGGCTGGGGATTGAGCCTGTGACCAAGGTACGGGCCCTTGACCAGAATAGAATCTGGGATCCTTCAGTCTGCAGGCTGACACTGTGACCAGTGGTTCTCAACCTGTGGGTTGAGACCCCTTTGGGGGTCGAACGACCCTTTCACAGGGGTCGCCTAAGACCATCGGAAAACACATATATAATTACATGTTGTTTACAGTAGCAAAATTACAGTTATGAAGTAGCAACAAAAATAATTTTATAGTTGGGGGTCACCACAACATGAGGAACTGTATTAAAGGGTCGCAGCATTAGGAAGGTTGAGAACCACTGCCCTAACCACTGAGGGCTCATTTTGAAGTAGAAATTATAATTTTGATAAATGTGCATGTCTTTCTGGCATGCTTTTATTGTCTGTAGGAATGCTATTCTACTTTGTTTCTCATAATAATTACATATGAGATTTAACCATTATATTTTTCTGTTGATTTTTATGAAAAATTAGTTTTTCTGGTTTCTTAGATGTGGCTCAGAATAGCTTTTTCTAACTTCACAGAGCTCCCTTTTTGTTGTTTCCTGTAGTGTTAAAAAAATATATAGTGGCTTGCTTTTTGAGATTTTCTGCTTTTATTCCTGCTAACTTGTTTTATTTCTGCTAACTTGTTTTGGAGCTTCTCTTTCCTTCATTTCTTTTATCCCTTTTCTGCTCAATATGATTCTCCTCTCAACCATTTCTCTTCAGTGTGGGACCCTATCTGAGCAAGGAACCCTGGTAGCCAGGTCAATTTCAAGATTTCAGAGGGGTTGGACTGCTCTAGCCCCATTTAGACCTCCTTATCGTAGAATCTTTATGCTTATATGCTACCGGAGACAGTAAAATTCCTCCTAGTTTCAACTGTTCTCAGTTTTGCTTTCCATTGAATACTTGTTGATTATTTCAAGGTTCTCCTATTCTCAGATCCACTTACTTCTCTCTGCTTTCTCTGCACTGACAACCAGTTTGATGCAGGTCTTGTGGCTGTTGGTGCTTTGTTCTTTTTGTGTGTGTGTACTTTGTTATGTGCATTTATTTTAGGATACCTTGTAACCTAGTTGTTGTTTTTTTGGTGTTATTAGAAGGGTTTTGATTTTGCTGTCTAGAAGTTCTCATTTCATGTGGAGATTTGAAGAGATCAAAAACTATGCTACTGCCATTTTTTCAGAATCCTTCAAGGAATTTTTTTAAAGAAACCTGACTCTGAAGGAGAGGCTAGAGAGAGGTGGTAGCTGGAAAGAAGCCTGTGAGGTTAAGAGAGGGTTTGTTGGTTATTTTTTAAGGTTGGAGACTCAAGTATGGTTAAAGATGGAAGGAATGAGTAAAAGGGAAGGAAAGGAGGGAGTAGGTAATAAATGTACTGGTGGTTCTTGACTGAGTACATGAGGAAATAGGGACGTGACGAGGGAAACATCTGTAATTGTAGTTATGGAGAGGTGGGAAGGAAGGTGTGTGGGAAGAAGCTGGTGTTCCCTTCTTTGTTTTGTTTTCTCTGAGAAATAGAAGGAAAGACATGAGGAAAGAGGTTGGTGGAGAGTAGAAGTAAGAGTTGTGAGACTAGCCCGGCTGATGTGGCTCAGTGGTTGAGCATCAACTTATGAACCAGGAGGTCACAGTTTGATTCCCGGTCAGGGCACATGCCTGGGTTGTGGGCTCCATCCCCAGTGTTGGGTGTGCAGGAAGCAGCCGATCAATGATTCTTTCTCATCATTGATGTTTTTATTTATCTATCTCTCCCTCTTCCTTCCTCTCTGAAATCAATAAAAATATATTAAATTTTAAAAAAAGAGAGACTTGTGAGACTAAAAGAGGTTTTGGTAGCTGAGATTGAAGGTGACATTGATGCGTGATGTGTTTTTTGAACTCCTTTCAGTGATGGTCAGTAGTCTGTCTGTAGGCCTAGAGCAGTGGTTCTCAACCTTCCTAATGCCGCGACCCTTTAATACAGTTCCTCATGTTGTGGTGACCCCCAATTTCATTGTTACAAATTGAACATAATTAAAGCATAGTGATTAATCACAAAAACAATATGTAATTATATATGTGTTTTCCGATGGTCTTAGGCGACCCCTGTGAAAGGGTCGTTCGACCCCCAAAGGGGTCGCGACCCACAGGTTGAGAACCGCTGGCCTAGAGAAAGGAGACATATGAGTTGGTCCAATCCTGAGCACGTGGGAATGGCAAGGGAATTGAGAGTGTTATTAGTAGTGATTGAAGTGAATGGGCCATCGAATCTAGAGAGAGGAAAGGACTGAATGATAGGGTGAAAGTGGGAAGGTCAAGGAAGTGGATATCTCAAGTTGTAGGTGAGAGGGTAAGGGAAAAACCAGGTAAGAATAGAAATAATAGGGTTTAAAAAAACACACACACAAAACCCTTTATTGACATGCCATGTAATTTATCCATTTAAAATGTACAATTCTATGGTGTGTTTTCTTTAAATACATGAATGGGAATCCTTGTTATGTTTTTTTTTTTTTTTCTAGTATGTTTTTATTTCAGAGAGAGGAAGGGAGAGGGAGAAAGAGATAGAAACATCAATAATGAGAGAGAATCATTAATCAGCTGCCTCCTGCACACCCCCTACTGGGGATCAAGCCTATAACCCAGACATGTACCCTGACTAGGAATCAAACCGTGACCTCTTGCTTCATGGGTTGACACTCAACCACTGAGCCACACTAATTCTATGTTTTTTAATGTATTCACATATATATATGTGGCCATTACTACAGTTTCAGAACATTTTTATCACCTCAGAAAAAACCTGTCATTGAGTTATCACCCCTGCCCCTAGTTCCTCCATCTGCATCCCTCCTACCCCTAAGTAACTGCAAGTCTACTTTCTGTGTCTAGAGATTTCCCTATTCTGGTCTTTCATATGCATGGAATCATATAACATGTAGACTGGTGTGACTGGCTTCTTACACTTAGCTTGTTTTGAAATTGTAGCATGTATTAGTAACTTCATTGTGTTTTCTGGTTGAATAATACTTTGTTGTATGAATATGTCACATTTTGTTTACCCATTCATCCATTGATAGATATTTGGGTTGTTTCTAATTTTTTCTTATTATGAGTAATGCTGCTATAAACATAAGCATACAAGTTTTTGTGCAGAAATATGTTTTCATTTCTCTTGGGAATGTACCTATGATTGGAATTGCTGAGTCATTTGGTAACTCTGTTTAATTGTTTTAGGAACAGCCGAACTGTTTTCCAAAGCAGCTGTTTACATTCCCAAAAGCAATGTATGGGAATTCCAATTTCTCCACATACTAGACAGCACTTGTTATTGTCTTGATTTTTTTATTCCAGCCATCTTAGTAGGTGTGAAATGGTATCTCATTTCAGTTTGCATTTTCCTGATGACCTATGATGTTGAGCATTTTTTCTTGTGCATATCAGCCAATTTGCATACTTTCTTGGCGAAAGGGCTATTCAGATACTTTGTCTTTTTTTTAAAATTTGTTTTTATTGGTTTTGGAGAGAGTGAAAGGGAGGGAGGGAGGGAGAGAGAAAGAGAGAAACATCGATGTGAGAGAAACACATTGATTGGTTAACCCCTGCACACGCCCTGGCTGGGCTAGGGATTGAACCTTTAACCCAGGTACATGCCCTTGATCTGGAATCAAACCCGTGACCCTTCATTTTGCAGGTCAATGCTCTAACCACTGAACACACAGACCCGGGTTTTGACGTTCAGCATGTTTTTCTTTTGTTGCTTGTGCTGTTGGTGTCATACCTAAGAAGCCTTTGCTGAATCCATGCCAAACCCAAAGTCCTGAAGATTAACCCCATGTTTGTTTCTTTAATTTTTATTTATTATTTGAGAGAGAGAGAGAGAAACATTGGTTTGTTGTTTCACTTATTTATGCATTCATTGATTAAATCTTGTATGTGCTCTGACTGGAATGAAACCTGGGAACCTTCAGTACGTAGGCCAGCGCTCTATCCACTGAGCCAAACCAGCTAGGGCGAGGGTACTTTCCATTGAACCCCTTGTTTCGCCCACACAGGTAAGACTGGTCTGGAGTGTGGCCATGGACATGGTTGCCTGAAGTGGAGGTGAAGACTGTGAACTCATTGCTAAAGTATTAAAGTTAATGACAGGGCAGGCCTAGGCAGAGGCATAGAGGTATAGGCAGGTGATAGGCGCCCCCCAGAGGAGCAGGAGTTTAAAATAGGCTGGAGGAGTTGGATCTGGAAGAGACATTGAAAACAAGGAAGAACTCCACCCCTTACTCTGAAATATGTGGAGTGGAGAATGAGCTAAAACCACTGCAGTGAGAATTCTGCTAGGGAAGCAATTGATTTAGAGGGGAGTTAGGCATTAGAGTTTGGAAGAATGCTCAATAAAGTGGAATCAGCAGTAGGGGAGTTTGTCTCTGGAAAAGGGTTTTGATGTTAGCTCTGAGTCAAAACAGCATGACCCTAGGGTAGCACTTTGGCTTCAGTTAGATCAGACTTTGACTTATTTGGAGTCTCCTCAGCACTATGCCATTGTATCTTTCTGCCCTACCCTGGAAACAAAATTAGTTTCTCATTTGGAATAAAAATGTTGCCTCATTTGACATTCTACCACAGACTAGAGGAGGTGGAGCATAAAACAAAGTTCCCTTATTAATCATGATACTATTTTAAGATGTTTGAATTCAGTCTGTGTGTATGTGAGAGTGTGAGTATGATTAATTAAGGTCCCATAAAACACCAAGCAAGATTCTTGCAATTTCTGCTTCAGAACCTGCACAGAACATAGGATCAAGGAAAGAACTGAATGATTACCACACACCTATTCCCATCTCAAGAGGAGGGAAAACTTCTTATGATTGAGGGAAAATGGGAAGAATCAAGGGTATTTGGTTTTTAAAAAGCTATGGGAAAAGGCTTAGTGTGGGTAGGATTAAGCAGTCTTCCTCAGTTCTGTGGGTTTCATACCAGTATCACCTTTCTGAGAATCTAATCCCAGACACTTAGAGGCCAAAATGCCCAGATGCTAAACAGAAGAATGGGGAAGAGGAATTAATTGGCTTGTCTGGACCAATCAGGCTGATTCGGTTCTCTCTGAAGAAAGGGCAAGAACTTAGAGCATCTTGCCTCATCAGGAATCTCACAGTGAGTCTCTGATCAGATTCCTGAGGCCAGCCTGCGTCTAGTTACAAAAGGGTCTGGTTCAGGTCACGGGTCAGACCCAGTAGGAGAATAAGAGTAGTTATACACACATTTTTACCAGGTGGCAGCGCAGTGTATTAGTACCCTGACATGTTAACCCAACAACCTTTTGGTTTGCAGGATGACACCCAACCAACTGAGCCACACCGGCCAGGGCAAAGCCACTATTTTCAAGTTAAGAATAATAGTGCCTGGGGAAATCCTGGAGTTATTACAGAGAGTTTGCAAATCCATTAGCTCAGCTAAATTTAAAGCATTATTGAATATATAATAGTTGTCATTTTATGTCTTAGTGGATACTGCACTGAGCTGCTGTCTCATAAGATCTATGAAAAATTTAGATCTTGAAAGGGTGTTCACATAATCTAAAAGGTTGGGAATCTCTGTTCTAAGCCATTTTGAGCTGAGAGAATTCACAACTTGAGTTAACAGTATAGTTATTAGGCACTGCATGTTTAAGAGACAATTCATGGAGAAGGAAATTATCAATACAGATTAAGCTCCCTTTGTATGCTAGGCACTTTACTGCCTCCTATCTATATTCCCTGGGTTCCTTCCCAGAGGCTGCTACTGTTACAAGTTGATTGCATATCTTTCTTTTTATTTTTACAGTGCCCTTATTCTCTAGAAACTTTAGTAAAAATATTGATTTTTTTGTTTTAGTTTTTTAAAATATATTTTTATTGATTTCAGAGAGGAAGGGAGAGGGAGAGAAACATCAGTGATGAGAGGGAATCATTGATTGGCTGCCTCCTGCACGCCCTCTACTGGGGACCCAGCCTGCAACCCAGGCATGTGCCCTTGACTGGAATCGAACCCGGGACCCTTCAGTCCTCAGGCCGACGCTCTATCCACTGAGCCAAACTGGCTAGGGCTGCTTTTAATTTTTAAGTTTGTTAGAAAATGTTTTCCCAAAGAATGGAAAACTTTAAAATGCACCTTTCAGCCCTGGCCAGTTTGGCTCAGTGGATAGAGCGTTGGCCTTCGGACTGAAGGGTCCCAGGTTCGATTCCAGTCAAGGGCATGTACCTTGGCTGCAGGCACATCTTCAGTAGGGGATGTGCAGGAGGTGGCTGATCGATGTTTCTCTCTCTCTCCCTTCCTCTCTGTAAAAAATCAAAATATATTTAAAAAATAAAATGCACCTTTCAGCCCTGGCTGGGTGCACCTTTCAGCCCTGGTTGGAGTGTTGTCCCATACACCAAAAAAGGTTGTGGGTTGGATTCCAGTTAGGACACATACCTAGGTTGCGGGGTTTGGTCACTGGTCAGTTGGAGCGTGTAAGGAGGCAACCAATTGATGTTTTTCACATCAATGTTGTCGGCCCCCCCCCCTTCCTTTCTGGAATCAATGAAAAACATATCCTCCGATGAGGATTTTAAAAAAAACAATTTTTATTTTAAACACCTTTGAGATCTTTCTCCAAGGCTGACAGGGAAACTTTTTTCAGGGTGAAGAAGGGGAGTACAGTGAGGAGGAAAACTCCAAAGTGGAGTTGAAATCAGAAGCCAATGATGCTGCTAATTCTTCAGCAAAAGAAGAGAAGGGAGAAGAAAAGCCTGACTCCAAAGGCACTGTGACGGGGGAGAGGCAAAGTGGGGATGGACAGGTCAGTACCCACCGAAGGCCTCCATTTTGGGGCTGGAAGAGGGGCTTTCAACTTCAGAGGGAGTAAGGAGCCCTTTGTCCTCCAGGAGAGCACAGAGCCTGTGGAGAACAAAGTTCCCAAGCACTTGGATGACGATGAAGATCGGAAGAACCCTGCATACATACCCCGGAAAGGGCTCTTCTTTGAGCATGATCTTCGAGGGCAAACTCAGGAGGAAGAAGTCAGGTAACAGCCACTTGCTGCTACTGTTTTTAGTATGGATTTAGTGTTTATTGTATGCTAGGCACTTTGCTGGAGTACTTTACCTACATTCATAACATTTTTAAAGTAAGTATTTACCTCTTGTACAAATGAGGAAAGTGACGCTTAGAATATTTGGTAACTCTTGGTGCAGTAGCTAGGATCCACACCTACCCTTCCACTTGCCTTCCTTAATCTGAGGCTCAAGGCCTCTGGGATATTAAGTGCTTGCGTAGACTGCCTTATAGTAGAGAGGTGTTCCCAAGGTGCTGAGTAGTTTGAAGTGAAATCTTTATTTCTGTTCCTGTTGCATTTGAGCCCAGCAGGCCCTGAGGTACTGATTCACTCTTGCTTTTGGGAGGCCCGTTTTACTTCTGGAAAGATGGAAAGACTACATGAAGTTTCTTCTGATTCCATGCCCAACCCTGTTTGTTTCATGAACATCTTTACTTGACAGATTCTGCCAACCTAAGACACTTTTTCCTGGTTTTATCCAGGCCCAAGGGGCGTCAGCGAAAGCTGTGGAAGGATGAGGGTCGCTGGGAGCATGACAAGTTCCGGGAAGATGAGCAGGCCCCAAAGTCACGACAGGAGCTCATTGCTCTTTATGGATATGACATCCGTTCAGCTCACAATCCTGATGACATCAAACCCCGAAGAATCCGGAAACCCAGGTGAGGAAATTTTGGAGCCTAGACTATTGATATTGCAGAAAGAACTCTGCCTTTTTAAATACCATTCCAGCAAATAATTGAATGGGTGAGGACATCTTCCTCACCTTCAGTTTAAGACTTTTTTATTCCATTTATTCAGGTTTGGGAGTCCTCCACAAAGAGATCCAAATTGGATTGGTGAGCGACCAAACAAGTCTCATCGCCACCAGGGTCCTGGGGGGACCCTACCACCAAGGACATTTATCAATAGGAAAGCTGCAGGTACAGGTCGCATGTCTGCTCCCAGGAACTACTCTCGCTCTGGGAGCTTCAAGGAAGGTCGTGCTGGATTTAGGCCTATGGAGACTGGTGGACAGCATGGTGGCCGGTCTGGTGAGACTGTTAAACATGAGAATAGTTACCGGTCACGGCGCCCGGAGCAGACTCCTGTGCGGGATCTGTCTCCAGAAGCAGATGCTCAAGTGCTTGGCAGTCCTGAGAAGGAAGAGGTGGCCTCAGAGATACCAGCTCCTGCTCCTGCTCCTGACACTGCACCACCGCCCCCTGACAGACCTATTGAGAAGAAATCCTATTCCCGTGTAAGAAGAACCAGGATCAAAGCTGGAGATGCGGTCAAGATTTCAGAGGAGATGCCCCCTCTACCTGAAGGGCTGACCCCCACACCTCAAGTTCCAGAAACTACTCCTTCACCTGCTAAGACTGGGAACTGGGAGGCTCCAGTGGATTCTACTACAAATGGACTTGAGCAAGACGTGGCACAACTGAATATAACAGAACAGAATTGGAATCCAGGGCAACCTCCATTTCTGCAACCACGCGAACTTCGGGGTAGGTACCTTAGAGTTAGTAACTAGATATACCCCCCGCCCACCTTTGCAACACTGGGTTTAGGACATGGGACTTAATCTCAGGGATGTGGTGTCTGATGAATATCCGTGTTTTCATTAACCGCAAAAAAACAGATGGATTCCTAGATATATTCATCCAAGGACCTCATAGCAGTTTTATCTGTTATCTAAGACTATCCTACTACCTTGCCTGCTATTAACCAATAATGAGTTCCTGGCCCTGGCTGGTGAGGCTCAGTAGGTTGGAGTGTTGTCCCATACACCTAAAGGTGGTGGGTTCGATTCCCAGTCAGGGTACATACCAAGGTTGCAGGTTCCATCCCCTGTCAGGGTGCATACGGGAGGCAATCAATTGATGTTTCTCTCACATTGATGCCTCTCTCCCCCTCTCCCCCTCTC